AAGACCATAAAATATTTGAAACGCGTAAAGAAGTATGTGGACAAGCGGACAACAAGCGACAGCAATGGAGTGAATCATTCAGAGACAAGCGAAGAGGATGACGATGCCGATGATATGGTGGGCAGAAGATAGTTCGAATCTAATGACTCCCCCCCCCAAGCGAGAATCCCCTAGAGTATTTTGCTAGATAGATCGATTTCTGTAGAGAGTATTGCTTGAGCAAGTATTTTGCTCAGATACAGATTTGAGGCTGTTACTTTCCTGTGTTTACTAATAAGATCTTTTGTCTGTGTATAATTATTTATGCTGCCTAAAAAGACTGGATCTATGCCGTTCTCCACATGGGTAATGAGAAGAGAGACGAGAGACAAGCTTGTCCATTCTACTCATCTCCATCCGTTTTAGTTCGTTTTTTATTAATGATACAATTGTTGTTGTTTACTTTTGTAGGTCATGAATCAGGATGTGAAGAAGGAGAATCCATTGCAGTTCAGATTCCGTGCCAAATTCTATCCGGAAGATGTTGCCGAGGAGCTCATACAGGACATCACATTGCGGCTGTTCTATCTGCAGGTGAAGAATGCCATATTGACCGACGAGATCTATTGTCCGCCCGAGACGTCCGTACTGCTCGCCTCGTATGCGGTGCAGGCGCGGCACGGTGATCACAACAAGACCACCCACACAGCCGGTTTCTTGGCGAACGATCGTCTGCTGCCGCAGCGGGTGATCGATCAGCACAAGATGTCCAAGGACGAGTGGGAGCAATCGATAATGACCTGGTGGCAGGAGCATCGCAGCATGCTGCGCGAGGACGCCATGATGGAGTATCTGAAGATTGCCCAAGACCTGGAGATGTATGGCGTCAACTACTTTGAGATCAGGAATAAGAAGGGAACTGACCTCTGGCTGGGCGTCGATGCCCTCGGCCTGAACATCTATGAGCAGGACGATCGACTAACGCCAAAGATAGGCTTCCCCTGGTCCGAGATCCGGAACATCTCCTTCTCCGAAAAGAAGTTCATCATCAAGCCGATCGACAAGAAGGCCCCCGACTTTATGTTCTTTGCCCCACGCGTTCGCATCAATAAGCGAATCTTGGCCCTCTGCATGGGCAACCATGAGCTGTACATGCGTCGTCGCAAGCCCGACACGATCGATGTGCAGCAAATGAAGGCGCAGGCGCGCGAAGAGAAAAATGCCAAACAGCAGGAGCGGTAAGCGTTGAGCGTTAAGCGTTAAGCGTTGAACTTTGCTTAACTCGATTCGTAATTCTAATCCTAATCGAATTCGATTTCTTTAACTCTCTCTTTCCACAGCGAAAAGCTTCAACTGGCGCTGGCCGCTCGCGAACGTGCCGAAAAGAAGCAGCAGGAGTATGAGGATCGCTTGAAGCAAATGCAGGAGGAGATGGAGCGCTCGCAGCGCGATCTGCTCGAGGCACAGGAGATGATCCGACGGCTGGAGGAGCAGCTGAAGCAGCTGCAGGCCGCCAAGGATGAGCTCGAGCTGCGCCAAAAGGAACTGCAGGCGATGCTGCAGCGCCTCGAGGAGGCCAAGAACATGGAGGCCGTCGAGAAGATCAAACTCGAGGAGGAGATCATGGCCAAGCAAATGGAGGTGCAGCGCATCCAGGACGAGGTCAACGCCAAGGACGAGGAGACCAAGCGTCTACAAGACGAAGTCGAAGAAGCACGACGCAAGCAGGTCAGTGGCAAACCCTCTGCAGTTATGTATATCCATATCTACGTATATCTCCCTGCCTGACCCAATTTGATAAGCACTTTATTCAGAGGTTCCAAAAGGCAGGGCCATATTTTTGATAATAGAAATTATTTGGGTAATTTGATTGTTAGACGTGATTAAACGTGAGAATGGCAGCAGTCCATAAACGGAGTGGAGTCCATTCGATAAAAGAAGGCAGCTCCAAGAAGCTTTCATACAATTATTATTATTCCACGATTTAACCTGAACTTCCCTAAAAAAACGCCCGAGAAACTTGCATTCTCATTTCTTTGATTTGCGAATTTTATGTTCAAAATTGAAATAAATAATTTGCTTTTGCAGGCTGAAGCTGCTGCCGCATTGCTGGCTGCATCGACAACGCCGCAGCATCATCATGTGGCCGAGGATGAGAACGAGAATGAGGAGGAGCTGACGAATGGCGATGCCGGTGGCGATGTTTCACGCGACCTGGACACTGACGAGCATATCAAGGATCCCATCGAGGATAGACGCACGCTGGCCGAGCGCAATGAGCGCCTTCATGATCAGCTTAAGGTCTGTTGCTCGACGCAAAAATTGCATTAAATTTGTATTTCTATTGATTTTTATTTATTCTTTTCTTTGTCCAGGCCCTGAAACAAGATCTGGCGCAGTCGCGGGATGAGACGAAAGAGACGGCAAACGATAAGATTCATCGGGAGAATGTGCGTCAGGGACGTGACAAGTACAAGACGCTCCGCGAGATCCGTAAGGGCAACACAAAGCGTCGCGTGGATCAATTTGAGAACATGTAAAGAAGCAGCTGCATGCACGCACCGCAAGCCCCCGACTCTCGGACTCTCTTTTAAGGAAGAGAGAGATGGACAGCGAAGAGGAGTCTCCAAAAAGAAAGAGAAAGATATAGAAAGCAGAAAGAAGAACAGAAGAAACAGAAGAAAAAGAAACAACAAATATAATTCCGGTCGTTGCGACGATGACCCCCTAAAAACTACAACAAATATCCGCAAAAAGTCTATTAAATCCTGGAAATTGCGTATAAATTTCAGATATTCCTTATTTCTGAGAAACTTTGTATAGAACAGAAATCCACAGCATAAAAGAACGATAAAACACAGCACACAGATCACAGATGAAGATAAAGATACCCTTTAGACAGAAACACGCCCTCGACAATGACACATCTATGTGAAAGGACAATCAATCAATAGATTACAGTCGAACACACACCAATTGGTCCAACAATCACTTCAATCAATCAATCATGAATATTTCTCATTTTGAAATACGAGAAAACACACAGAATATAACACACAGAAATTAAACCACAACTACAACTACAACAAAACTACAATTATTTGCATTTTTTCCCCCGTTATAATTATTATTTTTATTATTATATAATTACTATTTTTTTTTAAATTTGTATAATTAAATAAGAACTTGATTAATTGTTTCTTAAAAATAACTTGAGAAGAGAGCAAACAAAACAAAAACAAACAACAGAGAAACAAAAAATATATTAAATAAAATATTTTTTCTTCTTTAATACTATTTTTGTTTTAAAAGAAAAAAGAAAAAAAAAACAACAAGCAAACGAAACGCAAGAAAACCATCAAAAACTATTGTGAAAAAAACCAAACAAAAAGTTTTTAAATTATACAATAAAAATGTAAAAACAACAAGCAATTATTTCGATACATGTCGGAATGAAAACCTTTCGTTTGTTAGAAAATGTTTTTTAGGAGCTGTGGACGCAGTCCGATCGTTCCTCAATGATAGCAAACAGTCCAACGAAGATGGCTCCTAGAACATTCATAATTTGTATACCCGGTACTCGAATAGTTAAAGGATATATTAGATTTGTGTTTGAAGCAATAGAATGCCACGTACTTCTAAGGTAGGTTCACTAATTGGTTTGGTGTTGCTACAAATTAAACCAATTTGCTACGATTGAAATCTACATCGAAAAGTTCGAGTCTGTTATGAGTTTTAGAAATCTGGAAGACTGGAAACAAAGTTCCTCTACAAACGGAGTTTGTGCGTTTGAGAATTGTGTTCTAATAAGCTTTTCCATGGAAAAATTGTCCTTTTTGGGTGGTATTGGTGATATTGTAGCGGTACCAAAGCTTCACCATGCCTCTAAATAGTATCAGGTGACCAAAATGAGTGCCGATTCCAAGGTAAGGGGACATCATTTTTGTTGGGCTGAAGCTGTCCAACCCAAAGGCACAGCATACACAGCACAATTAAAAGAAAAAAACGAAGAGGAACGTTGTGGAGCGCACAATTTTACTGATATGGAAACACCATAAACAGAACCATAATGCCGAATGAGGATCAGATCTGAACAATCAATAAAAGCCAGAACGATGCAATTATTTTGCGGTGTGCCACCTCTCTAGGCTTATTTCCCACGCTGCCGAATTTATTACTCTTATTGTTTTCGGGGCAGAAACTTTAATACTCTCATACGCCTGGCCATCAAGCCAGTTGCCGATCATAACTGGTCATCGCCAGGCTGCCTATAAATAAAATATGCCAGGGCGATTGATAAATGTAGAAACGATTGCCCAGATGGCCCAGAGAGCGATCTCTAATATTTGAATAACTCATTTTATACCCGGAACTCGGAGAGTAAATATGTAAATATTATTGTATTTGTGGTAAAAGAAAATGTAACAGTTGTGAAGCGTAAAAAGCGTCTCACGCGGTCCCACTCGTTTTTTGCAATATTCACCAAATCGTTTGAAGATCCAAAGTCAAGTTTTGAGCTTTTTTTTCTAGCGTTTTATTAATGCAAATGTCAGAAATTGATAACAATAGATACATAAACTATGCATGTACATACACGTATACATATGCGTGAATGTATTTATGTATGTATAAATGTATATATTTATCTATTTAATGCACACGGGTATCAGATATGAAATGTATACAAAAAAAATGTAAAGGGGTGTGGGAACTACCAATCAACCGCGCAACTTAAGGTAGCAAAAAAAAAAAAAACAAAAAAAAATCCAGAAACGAGAACGATCCGATCGATTTCTTACTTGTTCTGTTCGCTATTTGATAACATACAATATACAATACGATAATCGTAGGCTAAATCAGTATTATGCATATAATAAAAACACAATTTATCTCTGAAGGCACATAATTACAGGGGCTGGCGGCCGTATTTGAGGCGCATTTTGTGTGGTCCACTCCGTTTGTGGTCCATCGCCGAACTCCCGAAAGGGGTCTGGGGACCATTAATTGAGTATATTAGTTTCAATATCTAAATATTTATATTTATATATATATGTTGCAGTGTCAGTGTCAGGGGCAGTATGTGTGGAGGGATGGAATTTGGTCCGCAAATGGATTCGTCTCTTAAAATACAAGTGGATATATATATATATATATATGTAGCTATATATTTCTTTATATCTTTATATATTTATATTATTTATTCCAATTCGATTAGTATGGATTTCGTTGCACGGTTCTTGCTTCTACGCGAATCTCCTAGTAGGGATTGACGGCAGCCAGACCAACGCGTCCGCCGGAACGGGCAAACACTGGCTCCGCATAGCTGTGACGATAGCCCTTGGGCATGCTGGCCAGGGGCTTTCCGGAGGCGGACGATGAGACTCCACCTCCACCGACTCCTCCACCTTCCGCGGATCTGCCGTTGCTGCTGCTCGGCGTCGGTGCGGGCGAGGGATAGCGCTCGATGTGGTGGCCCCGGGCCGAGCCTGAGCTCGATTTGGTCTCCGACGTCTGCAAGTATTCGCGGGAATGAGCCCGCACCGGATGGCGACCCTGGTGCGGATCCCTCGCCCTTTCCTGCTCTCGCTCGCGGTCTCTGTCATGGCGATAGGGGTCCCTCGATTGCTCTCGTGGCAAAGGAATCTCCTCGCCTCGGCGATTGTAGTCACGATCCCGCTCCCGCTCCCGTTCCCTCTCTCTGTCACGTCGCTCGGGTACGCGCCGTGACTGCGGCTGAGGCTCCGGCTCCGGCTCCCAGTCGCTGCGGGAACGTGCCCGGGATCGACTCAATTGATTGCGATCGAGATGTGGATTGGGATGTGGCACCTCTTCCTCCTCGCTCCACTGCTCATATGTGGCTGGTGGCTCCACAGAGCCTCGTCTGCGTCGCGAGGAGGATCTATAGGGATCAGGAACGGACGGGGAGACGGTCGTGGGCATATCGCGCTCATCGAGGTCATAGCGACTGCCGGGGCGCTGCTCCATGGCCCGGAACTTGTCCTTGGCATCATGGAAGCGATCCCGTTGCGATGCCTGGCTGGGTGCTGGCGCCACAAAGTCTCCCCTATCCCTATCCCTGTCACGTTCTCGCTCCCGCTCGGAGCGTGGCTTGCGTGGATCTGGATTCGGGGGCTCGCCGTATCGCATGCCCGTCGACTTCATCATCTTCTCCATGCTCTGGATATAGGGCAGGCTCTCCGCCTCGCGATACGGATTACGATCCCGCGAATGATCTCGATCTCGTTCCCGTTCGCGCTCCCTCTCCCTCTCCCTGTCTCTGTCACGCTCCCGATCATGCCTTCTTTCTGTGGTTCGCTGGCCCAGATCCGAGCCCCGATGCACTGCAGCATATTTGTTGTGACCAGCGCCCGGGGGACCACCACCACTGCCCTGTGCCGGCTGTGGCATCTGCTCGAACGGCAGCTCCGATGGCTCTACATAGCGATGACGACTGCCGCCATACCGCTGTGACTCCTCAGCCGCATAGGACTTGTGCATCTGATGGTGGCTGTGCTGCAGCTGCAGCTGCTGCTTCTTTGAAGTGTACTCCATGAACTTCTGTTTGTCCGTCAGGTTCTCCTTGCGGTGATGGTGCTGCTGCTGCTGCTGCGGCGGCAGCTTCTCGTGCCCCGGATCCACATCCGAATCCTCAAAGTCATCGAGATTCTCATCGAGACGGGACGAGCGTCCCTTGCGCTCCCGTTCTCTGTCATGGCTGGATAGCTTCTTGTTGAGCAATCGATTGATCTCATTGTACTTGTCCGTATCCCGCAGCTTTGCCGGCTGCAGCTGTAGCTGCTGCTGCTGGCCCGTCTGTGGGGGCTGCTCCTGCTGCATGACACGATTGAATTTTGCATCGTAGTCGGCTGGTCGCAAAATGATCGGCTTAATGTCATCCTCACGATTCCAGGGCTTATTTGAGACTGACGCTGGGGTCTTGGTGCGTTCTCGTTCCCGCTCCCTCTCCTTTTCACGTTCCCGTTCGCGTTCCCTTTCTCGCTCCCTTTCCAATTCTCGATCGCTTGGCCTGGGCTGATACGGCTTGGCCGGCAGATCCCTCAGATAACTATCCTCGGGCGGCTGCACGGCGCTCTTCCGCTTCAACTGCACATGATGCGGGATTGCAATTTGTGACGGTTTGAGTGCTATCACCGAGTTGTCCGCCTCATTTGACCAGTGCTCGTCATCTGTGACAAGGAACAGGGTTTGGAATAAGCAAAATAATGTGCAATAAGAAGCCAAAACTTACCGCTGGAGCTATTGAGCTCCTGCCTTTCTGGGCTGGGCGCCAGATCTGAGCCAATGCCCGAGGATCCCCTCGACGACACCTGCTTGCCAATGGCATTGGCCGTGGCCAGTGGCTGGGGCGTGCCGCCTGCCGCTGGACCCTTCGGCGAGCCACCCACAATCAATGCGTTGCGACAGCGTCGCAGCTCGATGGCCGTCAGGTTGCCCTTGGAGCGGTGCACGGTGTCGTAGTCGCGGGGCGGCAGCAGCAGCGGCGGTCCATTGCCATTGAGCTTGGCCCGCAGTTCGGCGGCCAGCGAGTCGAACAGCTCGCTGTTCTGCTGCGGCGTCAGTGGCGGATGGTGCAGCGGATGTGGATGGGGCTGGGGCGGATGGTGCTTTCCGTGGGGCGGCGACCGGGAGACTGGTGAGCCTGCCACTCCATGCTCCTCGCTGCACTCGGACTCGCGAGTGCTGTTTCCGGTGTCGCTGCCCAAAGAGCTGCTGAAGCGCTTCGGCGATGATGTCTCGTGGCGGCGACTCTGGTGGGGCGCATAGCCAGCGGAGGGCGCCGATTGTTGTGACTGATGATGCTGGTGATGCTGGGAGGACTTTGTGTTCGACTCGTGTCGCTTGTCGTGGCTGTTGCTGCCAATGTGATGGTTGTTGTTGTTGCTGCTGATTGGAATGGGCGGCAGGATTCCCAATCTGCAAGGAATAAAACGGGTTTCAAATATTTCCAAGACAATATTCAAAATAACAATAGCTCGGTGTATCGATAGGATGTATCGTTTTGCTTGTAGTATTTTCTCGGTATCTAAAAACTACAAGAAAGTGTGTGGCCATGTTTGTTTAAAATACCGAAAAATCCAAGAAAAATACTATACTTATGCTGTTCTGCCAGATCGGTTACAAAACCATCGAAATTGTTTTATATTCATAATATAACTAATTATATTTTGCCTGCTTCTTAATTCTTTCAATGAAGAAATATATATGCACGTACATCGATACTCATCGATGGCGACCGCCAACAGGCTGGCAACTCTGCAGTAAATAAGTGCGCAATTTTTACGCCTCGTTTAAAATAAGGTTCGTGGACAAGGCTCATGGCGCACAATTATGTATTATAAAAATTGATAATGGAAATTGGTGTTAATGGTAATGATGTGCCATTTAGCCACGGTGTGGGCTATAGGCATTTATGTATGTTAAAAATATGTTAAATTTTAATAAGTTTAATGATTTTGAGTTCGTTTTTTGCCTCATTCAATTTTCGACAACATTTAAATGAATTTTTGTCCCAAATTTCAGCGTGCCTGGCTTCAAAGATGGCGACAGCCAACGCGCTGCAACTCTGTGGGCAAACGGTAAATGGCAAAGTTACGTGCAAGCAGCAAGCTTTAAAGTGTGCACACACCAGACAGTTTTTCCTGGCCAATGTAAAGTGTGCGGCTTATCTCGATGTGGGTATGGGTGCGCTAACATTTGGCTGCACTGTGGGCGCACATACAGAACTATTTCTGCATGGGACTGTGTATCTGTGTTCAGTATCTTCGTGGGAATGCCTCATCAGTGGCAGTGGCACTTTGGCAACTACACATAAGCTCTCTCTCTCACACACACAACACTTCGAATGCTGAACCATTGATGGCATAGTGAAAACTTACCTTGTTTCCAGCTCCTCGAATCGTTTTTGATTGTCGGGACGATTGATGAGGACCTGCAGCTGTAGGTGCAGGGCCTCCGCCGTTGTCTCCGAGTCGCAGCGGTAGGCGTGGACATGGAGCGGACACTTGGTGGCCGGATTATACAGCAGAAGGACACAGGCCACGATGTCGTCGGTCTGCACGGAGCTGGTTATGGCACTGTGGGGTATCAAATGCTTTGATGCCCCCTGAAACCAAAGACCCAAGAACGTGGGGGTAAGTTCAAGATCTAGACTTTGTACGCCTTCTGTGTGTGTGCGTGGGGACGCTGCTTACCTGCACGATTTTGATGCCCTTGTGGGAGACCTGAAGCGTCACCTTCAGCGGCTCCTGGCCACGCGATCTGTCCACCAGATACGGCAGCACTGAATTGATGACGCGTGGGCCGCGCAATCCCTTGGCCTCCTCGGCGCCCAGGAACCACACATAGTACGAGGCCTTCTGCACGTCTCGACGCAAGCGCAGCGCCATATTTTCAATGTCTGCAAAATGATCTGCGTCTCAAAAAAGAGTGTAACTTGCGGTGCAGCTTATCGTCTATGATTTTTGGGTTTTAAGTGCAGTTTGTGTTTGAAAACATCTGAAAGAACAGTCGCAAAATTAAAGAATGCAGCTGCAAATAGCTCTAAGATTTATACTGTCTGTTCGTTAATTATGTGAGATTCTGTGGCTCGACAATGGGAAATCGGGCCACAAGTGAGCTTCGAAGCATGCCAAGATCTTAATGTCAAAGAGGAAACGTTTCCAAATGGAGGATTTAAGCGCAAAACTGGAATGTGATGACGAGCAACTGTTTCGAGTGCTATCTAACGGGCAAACCAGACAGATTTCAGATACAGACCACCGCCACATCTCGTCATGTGTCATAATTTTGTGTGAAGCACAACGCAGCACCGCACTGGGGAGGAATATCAGAAACTGGTGCCGAAATCCCACCAAAATCGAAGCAGAGAAACCAGCGAGAAACGGTATTAACCCGTCATACAGGTGTCGTTGTCTGCGTTGTTTCTGTGTGTGAATGTGTATCCGATTCTCTCCTCTAATAACGTTTATAATCGATGATCTTGTATGACTTGTTGTTCGTCGTTCGGTGCGGCGGTGTCTCTCCAAAAGAATCTTGTTTTTTCAGTTATGCATTCAACACAAAAGCAAACAGAAACCGCAACCACAGAGACGCAACGCAGGGGAAGACGCAGCCAGATATTTATCAATATGCTTAAAAAATTTACATATGACACACACACAGCCACAGGCAGAGGCGTAGCCACAGCACAACAAAATGGCTGCTAAACAAACGATATTATTATTAACCTCAAAACGGATTTAAATTTAAGAAACGAGAAACGAGGAATGCATAATCAGAAGACGATCAAAACACGAACAAAAGTCACCGAGTGCTTGCATGACAGAACTCTATAAATATCTTCGAATACGTGACACTGGCTATGTCATGGAATAATTGTGGAATCAATCAGAACAATTGAGTCTTAAGGCACAAAAGGTCCTTAGTGCAAGTGCTTCTAGGGCATGTGTTCAATGGGGGCCAAAGATACTCTTATTTCTCCCATGCACAGTTCAGAGCCGTATCTGAAATGCAAACAAAAGAAATAACACAAAGAGTTCCGTTGGCTTCTACTCGAAGTCGAACAATTATCAATATTTTGAGGAAGTCTACTGATGTTTATATCGTCAATTATCTTTGCGGATTTCCTGTGTGGCCAAAAACGTGTTGTACTAAATGTGAAAGAATTTTGTGTGATTGATGGTTTAATAATGAAATCAATGGACAATTACTGGAAGGCTTAAGAGAAGGAAGGCTTCAACAAATTATAAGGAATTTTCTTGGGCGCTCTAAATGAAAACCAACAAAAATGTAGGCGAGTTCGTTTGTCTTTTTGCCATACGAATTTTAAGAATTTACTTTTAATAAAAGCGCTCTTTGCTTCAATTAGTATGCACTCATTCCTCATATACATAGTGGAATCGTGGAATCGTGTGGAAGCCCAAAAGAAGTGCCAAACAGAGGTCTGCCTTGGATTGCTTGTGATGAAAGACTCGAGTCGTTCGCCTGGCCGTTTTGAAGATGATATTTGCATAAAACAATCCGCTTGCTGATCAGCCAAGCAGCAAATAAACAATTTGCAAAACAGATCTTTTGTTATGCGATGAGATTGTTTTTTCTGTGGATCTGTAGAATCATCTGTCCATAATTCCCCCATGCCCGCCAGTGAGGTTGTTTTATTTCCTAATCTTTTTCGAATGTTTAGGTACAAACCAGACTGGGGTTTTGTATGCAAATTGAAAGGGTGCGCGAAGTATCTGAAAAATAAACAGATTTAACTCTTGCCACCAATTGGTGTTCTCGTTTCCCTCTTGGGTCTCAGACGTTTATTGGATTTGCTTTTTGCTGTCGTTGTGTTGCCTAAAAAATGGGTTAAGCGCCTCTTCCGCAACACACTGCCACATGATGATGTGATGATAATGATAATGGTGATTATGATGTTTGGGCGGTGTTTGGTCTTCACTAAGAATCGTATCGGAATTGTTAACACACTTTGGCTGGCATTTGGCACTTGCACTACTATTTCGTTTCGTTGTTGCTTCTTCGGTTTCTGCTCCAATTTGTTCAGAGTCTGAGCTCTCGATCAATGAACCGTTTACACACCAACACAGTTACAGATGTACTGATGTACAGATACAGATACAGATACACACTCGCACAGAAGTGGAGCGTTTAAATTTCTAAAAAACTTATTTGATTAACGGTAATGGCTCTCCGCCAAAGAGAGTCAGAGTCAGAGTCAGAGTCTCGCCTCGAACTCGCACTACACCACTCTCTCTCTCTCTCGCTTCATCTTTTCTTTCATAGAGAAGAAAATGCACAACACACACACACACACACACAAAACACACCTTAGCACAGCAGCAGCATATATATCTATATATATATATATATCGTTTAAGCAACAAAAAAAAGTTAACAAAAAGAGCAGCTCCTCCTCTAGTTCTATTCCGTGAGAGAGCTTCAACGCGCGCTTTGTGTGATAGACAACGTCCCAACGCTTTGACCGCCTGCCATCGACTGACTTGGCTCACTGTCTGCCAACGAACATTGTGGTAGCTGGCTGTTGGCAGCTTAGCTCAGCTCTCGTACGAACATACGAACGAACGAACATACGAACGAACGAACATACGAACATACGAACTTACGAACGAACGAACTCCCCAGCCTAGCTCTTGGCCTGGTCGTCGGTCTCGGTTTGGTCTCTGCCCCGCAGACCCGGTTTCTGCCAGAGTTTGTGCGCCGAGCCGAGCCCGAACTTGTTTTGCTGTTTGCTCTGTGGTTGTTCTTGTTGTTGTTGTTGTTGTTGTTGTCTGTAAGCCGCCGCAAAGAAAGTCAAGTCGCGATATTCCGCACAGTGTCAAAAAGTGAACCAAGAATGCACAAACTTGAGTTTGTTGTTGCTTTGTTGCTTATAGCTGCAACAGATCTGTCTTCTGTACCACTGTGCGTGGATTGTAATGGAGTGGAGTGGGGAGTGTCTTGTGCTGGAATGTGTTGAAATTAAAAGTTGTTGGGTTTTTGGGCGCAGTCGCGGCCCTGGCGCAGCACAGGCCAATGTGTGGTTGTTGTGCGACTTCTTTTATTTTGTTTTCTTCTGTTTTGGTTTGCTGTTGTTGTTTTTTTGTTTTTTGTTTTTTGGCTTAGACAGGTGTACGCAGACGCTATTGTTGTTGGGTGCCGTACCGCCACCGCCACCGCCACCGCCACTGCCACTGCGGCTGTTGGTGGTGCTATTGATACGAGCATAGCATTGAGCAGTGTTTTTCTTTTGTTTTCTTCTTATTTGCAGTCCGTGCATTCTACAAGTTTTCCACCCATCTACCGAAGACTTGTGCACACACACACAGCACCGATTGAAAAACTTGGCATTTAACTTGTTTTGGTTTTCGTCTTGGCCATCGAGTGAAATCTACAGGCAATTCTCCTCGTGGACCCATGAGAGCGAACGACTGTGGCCGGCCACAACGGAAATGCTCATGACTTAGTCAAGGTGTCGATATTTGCACAATTCTTTTGCGTTTTTGGCACAGTTTTCAGACTCGACTCTTGCTTGTTTGTTTGCCCAATGTTTAATGAATAATTATTGATTGATGGATTGATGAAAAGTGTGTGCAAAGGGCACACAAGTTGTGGCCCCAAAAGTATTTGCCACGTGTGCAAATATACAAAAATACTCAATTCTAAAACATTTTTCCAGAGCTTGTTTTTCTCTCCACCAATGGGCAATCGGAACAGGTTTTTTTTGTTTGTTTTCAAAAATGATCGCCTTGGCCCCTGCCTGACTCGGACGCCTCTGCAAAAATCAAATGGAAACATGAAAAGCACTTTACACATTTTCAAGATAAAGCGTTCTAATTTTTTGCCAGTCGCTGTTAAGCCATCGACCCCCGCGAACATTAAAAAACGATCCAAAGAGTCCAATAGAAAGCTGTTTAAAATATCAAAACAAAATTGTTAAGCGGATATCCGTACCAATTTTGGGCTTCAATTGATATCCGAATGTCTAGATGTAGCCAAGGGCCTTCAATTGATTTGCAAATCACAACAAAACAAGGAAAATACAGATCATCTCGAAACTCTTCTGTAATGTTTCATGGATTTTAAAGCAGATTTGTTTGGAACTGCTTGAGGAAAACATTTAATTGTACCCGAAGATACGAGGCGGTATCTTTCTATCTTCTTCAGAGATTCGTTCATTATCATTATGTTTCACCTAAGCGAACACATAATAACTCGTAAATAGACAACCTTTTCTTCTTGGATTTGGATCTATCTACCATTATCATTTCCTCAATTACATTACAGATATGTTTGTGCACTACAGTAGAAATGTTTGTAATGCATTTTAGTGGAACTCATTTTGAAGGGAATTAATGGAATGATGGGGCATTATTTATGGGCTCATTGTTGGCTCCTTAGTGGCAATCATATTTGTAATGATTAAAGAGGAATTTCGAAATAAATGCGTGACAAAAGTCGAGAAACGTTCGTAAAAATACGATGTCAGGTGGTTGAACATATTGTAAATACCTTAAAGTAATATCAATTAAATGACCTTGCGCCCCCCGCTCCACGCTCCCCGCTCCCCCCATCCCTTGCCATAAATGCAGTTTCGGCACGTTTTTGCGGGGAAGAAGCAACAACGAAATGCTGCCAGAGATTTCACCAGCCGCTGTTTTACAGGTTGTTGTTGTTGTTGTTGCTGTATTTTTGTTGTTTTTTTTGGACAGAAATCCCTGCTAACCTGATGACATGAAAAGGAGAAAAGCAAAAAGGAGAGTCAGATATGCAGCGAAGGGGCTGCAAGGTGGAGACAAGAGAGAGAGAGAGAGAGGGAGATTCCGATCCAATGCCAAAACAATTGCCAAATGGAATTTCACTTTTCTTTCGTCTATGGAAAAACGAAAAAAAAAAAAAACAACAACAAAAAAAGATGGAGAAGCGCTGCAGCACATGATTTGTGCGATTTTTGCAATTAAATTACAGCGTCTGGGAAAACTGGTTGCTTAAATATTTATATACTGTATCATGGA